AAGTAGTCCATCCAATAAACTTCATCTTTGGAGTGGTTGTTGTGTATTAAGGGGTTTGTGTTAGACCGGTCCACTGGACCGGTCCAGGCGGGACCGGCTCATACGCGAACAAGGCGGAAAATGTCCGCCCGCGGGGATGCCGAGCGAGCCGCACGGTGTGCGGGAGCCAAATAGGAAAGAATTTTTGGGGAGTTAAGAGGGAAATTTGAATGTAGGGATTGTTTAGGGAATTCCTTTTGATTTGTATGCATTAAATAGCTGATTTGGGTAGGGTTTGAGTATCTTGAATTTGGCTGAAATTTGAGATCTCGTAGAACTAGGATTTCTTTGGGCTCTAGCGGCGTCTAGAGATTTGGGAGAGATCGATCCTCCTCTCGAATTGAGGATCAATTGTATCTTTGCTATTTCCTTGCAACTACTAGTAAAATACAAGTCTTTTCTCGGATTTTTCTGCAGTTTTTCCTGCTTTCCTACTGTTTTTGGCTGTTTTTCTACTGTGGACAGCAATTTTACATTGGATCTACTTGGTTTTGGTGAGAAACACTTGGAAATCCAAGTGTTTCCTATCAGCTGCCTGTGTAGTTTTTACGCGGAAGCAGAGGAGCGCAGACACAAAAAATGGGACATGGGTCCTCTAAACAGGAGACTGTCACGTGCGTACTGGTTCACGCATGAAGACTAAAACAGCGGGCTGGCAAGGGGCTCGCGTGTGGACCTGAATTGCTAAAATGAGCAGGGGATGGAGTAGAGGTGGGTTCGCGTAGGACTGTGCACACGGGCAGGTGGGGTCCAGGCAGTCGGGTGTATAGGATCAAGTGGGAGGCTGAAGTCGCTCGGGAAGCGTTGGGCTCAGGCCAATGTTTTGTGTGAGGAGATCACGTTGGGCTGGTGGACGAGTCACGCACGTAGGCTGGCGAAGTCTGAACGGGGAAAAAAAAAAGGGGCTGTGGGATTCAGAGCGTGGAATCGGTGTCGGGTCAGAGACCGAGGCGCTGGGCTATGGGATTCTGGATCGGGATAGACAGCGTGAGAGAGTGGACTTGAATTGCTAGCATGAGTAAGGCATCAGACTGCGCTCGTGCGGGATCAAAAGATTGTTTACAAGAACAAAGGTGACGACTGCTGGTGTGCAAGGCGGATACGTACGAGAGTTATTGCGGGCAATCAAGCGTGGGAGTTCAGGCCAGTTGTGAGATCGACAGTGGAGTCAGGGCGTCGCAATAGGCACAAGTTTGAGTGATCAGGTGGAGTAGAAGAGGTGACCGTCCGGTGGAGGCCTTTTTTTCCTTGGGTTGTTCTTTGCAAACAAAGGTGGAGGAGAAGAGGCAATCGGCGGGAAAGATTTTTTTTTTTTTTTCCTTAGGCTATTATTTGTGGAAAGCAGGTGTTTTCTCAGCTTTGTAAAATTAGACCAAGGTGGAGATTGTTAGTAATTTTATCCAATTTGTATGTTGTTATCTTTTTTACTATTTTGCCCTTCATTTAGATAGTTTTTAGTTTAATATGTATAGCTTGTATTGTTTAGGTAGAGCTGAATTGAATAAAGATTAAATCCTTTTTCTCTCCAAAATCTGAGTGCTCTCTCCCTTCTCCCTCTCCCTCTCATCCAAGAAGAGCAAGAAGTTCCTCAACAATTTTCCAACAAAATCAAATTAGAACATGTTATTATCGCGGGTATGCATGTCAGAAACTCAAAACTATACACTGTAACAAATGCAACTTAAAGAACTTGCAATATCAGATTGTAGAGTGATACTAAGGAATGAACTATAGAGGGGATTTTAACTATCGCATACCTTGTAAAGTAGGGGACTACCATTGACTGTTTATTACTTGTTGTAAAACTCTTCAACATGTTGAATTCTACAGCAACTGAGAGTAGATCCTTGATCTCAGACACGCCACCTGAGAGCAGCATATGACGGTTTGGGTGTACGGTAACATTTGTAACATTTGAACTATCCGAAATAAATTCCAGCAGAGGTTTTGGAATGTGAAAGTGCCTTGCTGAGTGCAAAATATGATCTAAATCGTGCACTCCGACCCCATAAAGAGAAAACATATCATAATTGTCAATAGCCACAGTTCTGAGTCCCATAAGATTAGACAACAATGAAGTATCTATGTTGTCTTCCTCACTGGTGCCGCTGAAAAGAAACTTCAGGATCTTTTCATGTCTAGTACACTGTTCAGCAATCCCAAAGCTAAGGACCGAATCAGGATGAGCATCTGTTTCCAACCAAGTATTCAAACGCTGAAGCTTAAGAGATTGAAAAATTACTGTAGGAAAATTATACCAAAGTTCATAAACATGAGCTACAGATTATCATTAAAGATAGACTTGCATTGTTTGTAAAAGACAAAGTTGATAGAGAACTAAGAGAATTAGATACCTGACATGCAAGTTATGATCTCCAAATTGGCTAAGCTACTAATGATTTTTGTAAGCCATAATGATGTGATGGCGTGGAGTAATTAACTTAACTAGGTATCTATCCTATAAAAATCCCCAATTGGGGAGAATGAGGGAAGAAGAATAATGAAAGTGTTTCCCCCTTTTATCTATTTTCATCTTCTTCTTTTTTCCCCTTCTTTGAGAGTAATTGAGCGGCTAAAGATGCTCATTTATCATTCATCATACATGTCCAAACTACCAAAGATAATTTGTCACCTAATCTTGAAGAGATATCATTATTGTCTTCCATCTAATATAATCATTCATTAATTTATATTTCCTATTTTTATCACACATTCATCTTAATATTTGTTTTTTTTAGTATAAAAAATAGAATTTTAATGATTGTCCATCATTTAGTAAATGTAGTTGCTAATAATCAGGAGATTACTAAGAAAATCATAAAGGGGGACATAACAACAAATTTTGCTAATAGGTAACAAAAAGTTGGATATCGCAGCAATAATTGCATCTACACCATAGAGAACACACTGATAATTTCCTGCAAAGCTCTAGAACACTGATTTTTTAGCTTACATCTTTGTATATGTATGTAATAAGCATGCAATTATCATCACCATCATTAACATTATCCCAGTTAGTTGAGGCTGGCTCTATGAATCTATTTCTATTTTCTTTTTTTCGAGTATTGTCTAAAGTATCGAGCCTAGGTAAATCATTCTGAATAACGTATATACATAACACCTTAGGTTTTCCGATTCATAAGCATGCATCATTCTTATATCAAGAGGCATACCGTTACATATGCATATAAATTTATTACTTCATAGTTCAATAGAAAGTTAATATGTCATCTTTTAACATATTATTTAGGTATTATATAAAAAATCATTTTTAACTTTTATTTTAACTTCACACAATTTTTAGATTTTGAGGCGTCGCCTCACGAATGAAAAACGCATCAGTACCCAATTGCGTAATTTTAAACCATGTAATGACATGATTGAAGAGGTGAGCTCAGAAAAAGATACTAAATATTTTATTTTAAAAATATTTTTTAGCAGAAAGAGGCATGAGCTCAGCAACTAATTTCTTTGATAAAGCATCAAACCTTGCATGTCTATAAGTACAGGTTTTTCCGACATTGGAATTGATCTTTGAGGATGTTTATGTGTTGGGAACATGTTCTTGGGAAACAATTTCTCTTCAACAGGTGGAGAACCAACCAGCACAGAAGCTGATTTTAAGATATCTCGTCTATTGCCATAACCTGGTAAGGATGTAATCTCCTGAACATTTGAAAAGAAAATTTGCATAAGGATGTGCATCTAAGACTTCAGAAAAAAAAAAAAAAAAACTCATATTTGTTAGGCCAATCCAACAGTTCTTTAGAAAGGCCTGCATTCTGGAAATTTTAATATCCGCAGTTAAAGGAAAGAACTCAACAAATTCCAATACTTTGGCATGTAGTCCTTCTTCCAATCAGCTAAATACAATGGATCCATCAAAAACTCTTTCTTTTTCAAAACAAAAAAATTAACAACCTTAATCACATTGATATCAAGTTAACTTAACTCAGTAAATGCGTGATTGAAGAAAATTTTCCGAAGACCGGTTTACAGAAACGAAGCTAACTATGTAGATTTTCTTCGTAAGGAGAATAGAAGACTGATAAAAATAAATATAATAAGGATAAAAATTCCAAAGTTTCATACAAAAATGAAGAAAATATGGAATAATGAAAGTTCCTATTACGTAAAAATCTTGCAAGCATCAAATAATGCTATAAAAAATAAATGAGACATCCAGAAGGAGGAAAATGAATGCTCAAGATGTATAGATCAAGATGATTGTCCATGAAAAGCACGCTTCTGCCACACATAAACAACCCAAAATACTTGAGATGCTAAAATCAACAATTTAGTAAGCACAAAATCTACAGTGAGTAAGAATAAAAAATATCAGTGACTAAGAATAACCATCTCGACAAATTAGTCCAAAACTTTTGTCTCTATGCACGTCTATTTCAATGTAGCCAAGTACATGATGATTAGAAGTCATAATACAAGGAAAGCCGCCTGACTTTGTGAAGTGCCAAATAACTGTTAGACCGGTCCATACGGGACCGGCCCAGGCGAATAGAGGTTGAAGTCTCCGCCTCCTGTACGTGACGATCAAGCTGCCCAGTTCAAAGGAACTGATAAGGAAGATTTTAGGAGAAAGTTAGGAGGAAAATTTGAATGTATTGACTGTTTAGAGATTTTCTTTTGAATTGTATACATTAAATAGTTTGTTTTTCTAGGGTTAGGGCATCGTGAATTTGGCTGAAATTTGAGATCTCTTAGTTTCTTTGGGCTCTAGCGGGGTCTAGAGGTTTGGGAGAGATAGATCCCCCTCTCGAATAGAGGATCAATTGTATCTTGGTATTTTCCATCCGTTATCTTTGATTATTGCAATAAAAACTAATGTTTTTTCTGGTTTTCGTTGAGTTCAAAAGAGATTTTCTTGATGTTTTTTTCCGAAATTGATAGGAATTACTGTAAATCTTAAAGTGTTTCCTATCAATAACCTCAGGAAATTTTTAGTCCCAATAAAGATAATTCATCTTTGAATGGCAAACTTATAATCAAATTTATCATACTGCATAAGATACCTGGAGCATAACAATAGCATGATAGAAACTCTATATAAACCCAAAGAAAAAAAAACTTTAACCATCATTCAACCAAGGCATACTCCTTCCCACTTAAAAGCAATAGTCATCCAAATGTCTTCAAGTGACTAGACTAGAAGTTAAAAAAAATTGCACCATGCATGATATAGAACTTTTCCCATGTCTATTAAGACAGAATTTAATATCACTGTTTTTCTTAGTCTTATGGGGGAAACTCGCAGCAGTTTTAAAACCTTACCTCACAGCCACAACAAATTATCCATAAAAAGCTGTCGATGAACATTCTGTGCTTTGGAATGAGAGATGCAACAAGTGCCACCGCAAAATTACATAAAACCTAAAGACTTTCCTCAAAAAGGAAAACTTTAACAACAAATTTCAAATCTTTCTATGGTTTTTGTTTCTTTTTTTGTTTGGAGGGATTCAAACCTTAGGCCAAAGTTCTTCCTAAAGTACATCCGCCAAAATGTGTAGTTCCGCAATCACACACTCATTCATTGATTTTGTTGATCCCTTGTAGTTTTTTTGCAAACCTACTATACCTAGAATCTTCCTTTCACAGTGTATTTTTGTAATCTTGGTGAAAGAATAAACTCTGCAAATTGTTGATCATGTGAAGCTTCAAAAGAGAATAATTTCAGTCGGTATAAATATCATATCTTTGATGAAAATACGGCCCAAAGTTAATTTGCGCTATCATTCAATAACACACAGCAGGGATAAATCTTTACCCATGGGAAATTTATATTTTTTTAGCCGGTTTCTAATTAAACGGATAAAAAAGGTTAAACATGTATCACTAGAAGCATGTTGTGTAACACCTTACACATCACATTCTCAATGATTACATATCAATCAGTAAAATAAACTCTCCCAGGATGGGGGAGGTCAGCAGTTTCCTAATTAGAGCAGGGTAAGAAAGATTTATAAATGATGATCTCAGCATCAAAGTTAGAAAATGTGACAATCTCCTTCATCTTCAAGGCAATGCTGTGCCCAAGGAGAAATTATTTGGTGCGGAGTGCAGACGCAGCTCTACGTCTGGACTCCAATTAAATTTGGACATGTGGATATTCACTGTGATCTTTTTTAAGAAAAATTTTCTAGAAATTTATAATGTGTAATTCAATGTACTTTTGGCGCGCTTTCACTTTTACTATCCTTTTGTTGCGCTTTTACTGTCTTTTACTTTTGTTACCTTTTTGCTGCGCTTTTGTTGTCATTTTGCTACGCTTTTGCTTTATGAGCAGTGAAATGGTGCGACGAAGAATAAAATGACCTAAAAACATGAAATCCAATTAAATCTCCACGTGTCCACTGCACTTTTCAAAATTTAATTGGAGTTCGGACGTAGAGCTAGATCCAGACTCCACACCAAATAATTTCTCACCCCAAAGCCACTAAATTATGAATAAACCTACATCAGACATCATGATAGTGTAGCCAATCCCTGTAGTTACATCTGACATGATCAAACAATTATTCCGCTGTATTGATGACGCATTAAATATTGTAAATTAAGAGATTACAAGTGCTAAAAGCACAAACAAAAATAAAACCCCTTATTCAATAAAGAAAGAATAACGCCAAACTCAATAAGCTCGCCCACCTGTCCATGGAAAGAACAATAAGCCAGAGAAAATATCTCTACGAAGCCATTTCATAAAATCCAATTTTTTTAGAGAAATGTAAGCATATCCAAAGCTAAACACAACTTCCATGCTTTTTGACTGGAACCTTGTTTTAAAACTTGCGCTATTGAAGCTAAAAACATATTTGGCTTCAGTAACAATACACCTAGTTCGAATACATCGAGCAAAGACTGGAAGCCCATCTTCGTAAAAGCTGATTGACTCACCTTGGAAGAACGGCAGCTGTTCTGGTCCTGATAGAAAGGAGCTAGGGAGAAAGCGGCGGATGCCATGAGAGAGAGCTCCGCCATCGCCAAACGACAAAGGCCGGATTTTTAATGAAGGCAAATCGATGGATTGAATAAGCACAAAGTCGCCGGTAAATTTCAAACGATCCCTGACCACAAAGAGCTCGCCCCTCCATTAGATTGAAAACAACTTGTGGCTTGGGCCAGCTGAGGGGGAAATTATTTGGTGCGGACACCAGCTGTGCGTTTGGACTTCAAGATTTTCAATTAAAACTTGATACGTGGAGCCCCCACGGTGGAGGAGATATTTAAAAGGTAAATTTACATGCATATTATTATATAACTATTATTTTACATATCTAACCACTCACTTATTAATATGACACTTATATCACCAAAATCCTATTACACATCACTTTTACCACTGTCTCCATGCACGCTCACTACGTCTCAAGTTTGAGTAACAGATTGAGGGGGATAACAACCAATAACTGTGCAAGCAAAAATGTAAAATCAACAGATGTCTCAAGTTTGAGTAAACAATTGATAGCATAGTTTATTCGATGTCAAATAGGGTTAAATTCTGGAATTCAATGTTTGAGCATATTGCAATAGATGAGTATTGAGGTACTCTTCCCATGTGTCTACACGTTGCTTTGCATTTATGCTATTGCTAAACAGAAAATTATATTGCATAAATGAAAGGGTGTTTTCTTAAAGTTCACAAACAAAGAGCTATGCAATGTGTTAACAGAATTTTTTTTGCAGTTTAAATGAGTTCTTCAAATTCATCCGTTATGAAAGTCAAGCGGCAGCAATCTCAAGTATACTGTCAAATGTGTTTTGTTCACCTGCCACCAAGGACCAAATAATGGAAGACAATTTTATTGCTATATTTTATAATCGAAGTGATAATGATTACCATTACTTTAAATGGGTTGATGAAGAAGAAGAGCCATGCTATGTCACATATTACGAATTTAATGCCTACGACAGAAGGAATTCTAAGAAGTTTGATCATATTCTCCTAATGATTAAAGTTGTTGTCGTGGTTGTTCTTATTGACATTACAAATCGACTTTATTTTGGCTAGTATTATGTGGTGTTGAAGTAGATTGTATGGATGGTTTTAGAAGACAATGTGTTATTTTAGTAGTTTATTTTGTATTTGTGGAAGGTTACTAGTTCTAGCTTTGTTGTGACTTGAGCTAGCTTTTTTGGCATGTATTCTATTAGTTTTTTGTATCTTCAATGATTTTGTGGAATGAAAGAAGTTTTTTTTTTTGTGTGCATCTTCAATATTCTTTGAGATTATTCACATTGTTCAATGCTATGGTTCTATTTCATTCAAGAGAGCTCCGCCTGATGCCAAGGGTTTTCAAAATCATGCAATTCTGTTCAAATTCAATGCTATGCTAATGTTTTAACTGAAACAATAGCATTTTCTCATCTTGACCGTAAGCAACATGTTCTGTTTTAACTCAATCAACAACAACAATATCAAGGCATTGACTACACTGCAACGTGTTCTGCAAAACTGAATGCTTACGGTCAAGATGACTTGGAGTTAAAATGAGTTTATTACAAAACGTGTTCTACAAAATTGGATGCTATTATTTCTAAATAGCAGTGTATCTGCTTACTATCTCCACATCATTTTTGCTGGGAGAAGTTTTTTGGAATTTATCTACAACAAGGCAATCTTCTCATATATTGCATGCTGCCATTTTCATTTCTGGAAGCTGGTTTGACAGCTCATTCATTAGCAGTGTTACAAAATATATAGCCAAAAACCGGATGCTTCTGTTTTGGTTCACCTTCTACATTAGCAGTGTTACAAAATATATAGCCAAAAAGATGCACAACCTCATATTAGTTATAGACCTTCCACATAAGAACAATCATATTCATCACTCTCAAAGATGTCATTTGGAGTCCTTCTGCTTGGTAATTTTGATCGTTTCGGTTGCCCCGCTTGCGTTAGCAATGTGTCATCGATGATGTTCTTTAATGGATTCTTGCATGTACTTCGATGATGACCCCAAATACCACATCTGCTACATTTGTGTACTTTTTTCCTTCTCCAAAAAATTTGGCAATCTTCTTCTTTTAGGTCTTTCCTCTAGGTCTTGTTGTATTTGACACTCCAACTTCAACCAAATATTTAACAACCTACCACTGATCCTTCCCATGTAACATATCAATAGCTCCATCGTACGCTAGCCGGTACTTGAAGCACTTATAAGTGGTCAACCTAACGTAACACATCAATGGAACATTAAATGAATAATATGTAGATATTACCTGTAAACGTAGTAGTAATTATATATATATATATATATATATATATATATATATATATATATATGATTTTCCACTGATGATGAATACAAATTATATGCTCAGCTGCAATGCATACTTCTTTAATGGCATCGCCTAATCTCTTATCCATGTCCGAAATGACCGCAAGTGTTTCTATCTGTGTGCCAATACTTTGTCCCAAGTTATGTAGGAACTATAACCATGTATTCTTAGTTTCGATTTCAACAATGGAAAAGCCTAAAGGGAATAAACCATTATTATTGTCAACTAAGGTTGCTGATAAGAGCATACCTAGGTGCTTGGATTTTAGGTGGCATGCATCCAAATTGATGAGAGGTCTACAACCAAATTTAAATCCATCAACACAGACCTTGAATCTAACATAGAATCTCTAAAACAAATTGTCACGTATGTCATTCGTATATGTGATATGTGAACCAGGATTTCTACCAACCAATTCAGTTTGTAGTGTCGGAACCCATTTATAATTATCATCTATATAGCCAAATATAATATCCTGAACTTGATCTCTCGACCTCCACAACTTCATGTATGGTAATGATAAATCATATTCTTTCTCCAAATTATTATTGATATCTTTTGGAGGAATATATAGATTCATTTTGACAATCTCTTAAATCTCATTCGCAACCCATGCATAAGTGGCTAGTTTATTCACAGCACGATTGATGTCAGGACAGGTGTGAACTCCATCAAGTCTCCTAACTTCAAAAGTGTGAGCATCTTCACAGAGTGAAGATCGAATTCTCCAATTGCAACCTTGGTAAGAACATGTTGCAATAACACGTTTCTTATCACTGCCTTGATTATGACCCCAAAGTTATCTCTTATGGCAACTGATCGAAAAGCATTCTTGAAACTTAATGCATCAGGGAAATAGGTGCTAACAGCTATATCTTTAGAACATAGAGTTGGAGCATTCAAAATAACATCGTTATAGTGAAAAGAACATTCAACCATATTTTTAGAACTCGCAACCTCCATAAGATTAGAATTTGAATCATGTTCTTCCACTTTTTGTACTGTAATGACAATCTAAACATGCAAATTATCATTCAATACTTTTATAAACTCAGCCTCCTCAACTTCAAAATTCATTTCTTTGTATTCCTTCGGTGATGTACAGTATATGTAATAATACAGATTATATGGATGACCCTTAAGCCATGGACATAATCTACAATTCTCTTCTCTAAGTACATAAATAGTTAGTTATACTTTATAAAATTTTACAATCCTTTGTTTGCCACCATCATACCTCTTTCTGTGTTGGACATTGGTTTGAACCCAGATCCCTCCAAACTTAAATACAACAACAATGTACTTTTTCTGCACTCCGTATAAATTATTTTCAATATTGTCACCATAAGCCTGCAGTTTCAATGGTTTAAAAGTTATTTCAAAATTATTAAACCCTTTAATATAAACCATTCAACACTTACGGAATTGGTCCTCTTGGAACACATCCGTAATTGCTTCGACTAAAATCACAAATTTCTTAAAGTTTCTTTTTCAAACAATTTTAAGTTGCAAATTAGTATAATAATTAAATGACACATCATAATCATTTCAGTCTATTCATTATCATCAAAGGCATACATAAAAAATTATCCTAAGAAAAAACTTCTCAAGTCGGCAAGCCATGAGAACATCTCTGTGTTCGGTTTATGTAAAATTTCCTTATAGAAAAAACTTCTCAATATTTTTTCTTCACTGTGTGTTTCAAACGTATCCTAATAAAAAACTTCTCAAGTCAGCAAGCCATGAGAACATCTCAGTGTTCAATTTATGTAAAATTTCCTAAGAAAAAAGTTCTCAATATTTTTTTTTTCACTGTTTCAAACGAAATCCAAATTACATAACATCATAAACAAAAATATATTAGGAAGTATAATATCAAGCTCGAAGACAATACCCGTGAAGGAAATCTGAGCTCAACAACCTATAGAAGCAGAGGAAGTGGATTCTGAAAATGTCCGAGGAAGGTAAGTCGCGAGAAGTACCAGTAATGGGGGATTTTTGTGGGAAGGAAGAAGTCAGAGACAAAACGCACGAGGTATTATGCGCGAAGAAGAAAAACTTTCGGCGGGAAGAAGACGTCGTGAGCATGCGTGGAGACGGAGTGGTAGAAATGATGTGTAATAGGGTTTTGAGTGGTATAAGTGTAATATTAATAAATGAGGTGTTAGATATGTAAAATGATAGGAATATAGTGGTATGCATGTAAATTTTCCTGTTTAAAAATTTTAATTAGATTTCTTTTTTATTTATGTATTTTCAATCAACCTTTTGTACTTTTTTAAGATAGGTTTAGGATTAGTGTTCCATTTTAAGAAAAACTCTCAAAATCTCTCAAATATAAATTTTTAGGAATCCTGATAATGCACTGAAAGAAAAAATGAAGAACAACATTATTATATTTGTGAAGATGGAATGCTCATAGGATACGAATGATGAAAGGAGGTATGAAAAAGTTGATGAATCGAAAGTTGATTTGGCTAGAATTGTTGAGGGTTTCAACTTATCGATAAATTTCTACCTCATCCCATGTTATTTTAATGGTTTTCAAAGTTTTTTAAATTTTAGAGAGTTCTAAAACAAAGCTACATAAAGAAAGCACATCAGTGCTCAGTACAAGCGCATACAATGCATAGAAAATGTAAAAGAGCATTGCGCTTTCTCTGTGGATTACAATTGTGCTCATTGTGCGCTTTCCCGCTAGATTCAGTGCGCTTTTTATGTGCATAGACTGCAAAAGAGCTGCAAACACAATCATTTTCTATAAAATCATTTATTGACTTTCACTACAGTGCAACCAAAAAAGCAGTTAAAGTGCTTTATTTCTTTTAACTGCGTTATCATTGCGTTTCGACTACAATTTGATGCACTTCATTGTGCTTTTGGTGTGCTTTCGATGCGCTTTATTCGTGCTTTCTCCACGGTTTCGCTATACTTTTGCTATGCTTTCACTGTGCTAAGTGTAATATTAATAAATGAGGTGTTAGATATGTAAAATGATAGGTATATAGTGGTATGCATGTAAATTTCCCTATTTAAAATTTTTAATTAGATTTCTTTTTTATTTATGTCTTTTCAGTCGACCTTTTGTGTTTTTTTATGATAGGTTTAGGATTAGTGTTCCATTTTAAGAAAAACTCTCAAATCTAAATTTTTAGGAATCCTGATAATGCTCTGAAAGAAAAAATGAAGAACAACGTTATTATATTTGCGAAGATGGAATGCTCACAGGATACGAATGATGAAAGGAGGTATGAAAAAGTTGACGAATCGGAAGTTGATTTGGCTAGAATTGTTGAGGGTTTCAACTTATCGATAAATTTCTACCTCATCCCAAGTTATTTTAATGGTTTTCAAAGTTTTTAAAATTTTAGAGAGTTCTAAAACAAAGCTACATAAAGAAAGCACATCAATGCTCACTACAAGTGCATACAATGCATAGAAAATGTAAAAGAGCACTGTGCTTTCTCTGTGGATTACAATTGTGCTCACTGTGCGCTTTCCCACCACATTCAGTGTGCTTTTTATGCGCATAGACTGCAAAAGAGCAGCAAACACAATCATTTTCTATAAAATCATTTATTGACTTTCACTACATTGCAGCCAAAAAAGTAGTTAAAGCGCTTTATTTCTTTTGACTATGCTATCATTGCATTTCCGCTGCAATTTGATGCACTTTCATTGTGCTTTTAGTGTACTTTCGATGTGCTTTCTTCGTGCTTTCTCCACGGTTTCGCTATACTTTTGCTACACTTTCACTGTGCTTTACTTCGTATTACATGTTATCTATAAATGTGAAAAAGAAGCATATGATGCTTACTGCCATTATGCTCATAATATTGGTTTTGGTGTGCACAAGAATCATCATAGTTACTGGCCAAATTTGAAAAAAAAAAAAAGATAAAATCTTAAGACTTTGTATATTCAAAAGCTTGTTTTAAGAAGATATTTGATCTAAATTCTCAAATGAAGTATAAAAAATCAGAGACAATAACAGGTTATCTATCTTTAGTTAGGTTTACAGTTAATGAAGCTGAAAAATGAAATGTGAAAAAAGTTATTGAATCACACGACCGTGAATTGGCTAGGCTAGAAGACTGACACCTCCTGAGATCATGTCTGAATATTGATGATGAGAAAGCTTCAGTTCTGAAATCAAAGACAAAAGTAAGAATCATTGATGCGTTCTCTTACCTTGTAGATGAAGTTGGAGGTATCGAGTATGTTGGATTCTCTAAGAGTGATGCATGCAACTTTATTCAGAAGAAGAAAAGAGCAAAGATTAAATTTTGGGATACTAATTCTTTAATTTAATTATTTAAAGATTGTCAAGTTGATTAAAACATATTCGTATGGGACATCAAAATTGATGAATTTGATTGATTATTAATTATTTTTAGGTTGATGGGATAAGTATGATAGATTATGACTGTTTTGTAGATGTGGTGATTTTTAATGCTATTTATAGGCTAAATAAATATAATTTAGTTTGTGCACCATTTGTCGGTGTTAATAATCATTGGCATAACATTTTACTAGGGATTATCTTTTTGTTAGAAGAAATAATTGAATCATTTACATAATTGTTTAAAATATTTACACAAATAATATGTGATAAACATCCTATGACTATATTTACTAATCAGGATCAAGCAATGACTAGGGCCATAAAAGTTTTATTACCTCACACTCGTTATAGATTATGTCAATAACACATATCTAAAAAGGTTACATCAAAAGTTGGGTGCTTCAATAGCAACAACAATGTCAGAGGACTCATTTATAAGTGTTTGAGCAAGTGTAACTCTGAGAAGGAGTTTGAGAAAATATAGGCTGAAATGATTAAGGAAAGGAACATCCATAATTGGTTGGAGAATCTTTATAGGATAAGGAAAAAGTTGTCAATAACATTCAATAAGGACTATTTTTTCACTTTGTTGTGCTTTAACTACACTCACTATTTTTTATTACTTTGCATTTATTTCGCAATGAAAGCATAGAAAAAGCACAGTGAAAGCTCAACGAAAGCACAGTGAAAGCGTAGAAGCAAATGAACCTCAACAAAAAATATATAAGAAATGATATTCAACCTAGTTTTGAAAACTTAAGATTTTATAAAGTTATACAACCTAGTTTTGAAAACTTAAGAAATTGATATAAGAACTAACTTTTTGGAGAAAATTTAAAATATATATGGCAACATATGGACATAATCATGCTTGAGGGTCCCTGGATTCTTCCCAGATGAAGGGGAAAGCCTATGAAAGTTCACTGGGCTCGAAGGAGGCGAGTTCAGGCCCTGGGGAAAGCTTTACACATGCCTTATGACAGGGGGATCACTAGGACTTGATCAACCAGGTCAAACCAAGACTTGTGTTTGAGTTCAATGTACTTTTAGTGATGTCTAGGATGCATTAAAAGAGGTTCTATGACTTAGTTTGATTGAGCCATGTTGAAGTTTCGAGGAAACTTCACTTTGTCCTTAAGGGGCATTTTGGTCAAGTGGGATCATAATGAACTTTGGGTCAACTAGGGCCCACCAAAGTGTAGTTTTGTGGTTTACATGTCAAAACAATGGTTATGGACATGTTAAAGTGTTTTGGGGAAGGTCCCAATGTCAAATTCCACAAGATACAAGGTATAATAGCACGGGCTATAAATATTTAAAGATTTTGATTAGCCTTTGGATTTCAATTAAGTTTTTGGGGTTAGAGGTCTTGGATTGATCTTAAATTTAGAAGGTTGACCCTTGAGACATTACTAATTAATATGCAACTGAAAAATCATGGATCCAAATTCATTTGATTTGGTTATGAGGTAATTGAAAAATCACCCAAAAAGGGTTACAGGACATGAGGCTTTTGACCTTGAGTTTTGGTTTCAAATTCTGGATTTGAATGTAGTTTTGGGTTTGATTGGTTGAATTTGATTTACCCATATCAATGACAATCATTTAGGTGATTGTGTGTAGCAGGTGACCACTACTTGATGAGATTTGGATTTTATTTGAATTTAGTTGGAATTTGGACTTGATTTTGGTTTTGGATTTGATTTTGATTGATGAACCTCATACAAAGATGATGTCAGCAGCACTACGTCGCTTAAAACACACAAAAAGATAAATGAGTTAAATCGACATATGTTGTAGCAGGACGGGACACATGGTATAGCGACGCTTGGTTTTGGAAACCAAAGCATTTCTTTATGCATGGGAATATGCTACAACGTTAACACATACAAGTTTTGTGGAATTTAAAAAATTCTAACAACGTCACACCATAAATAAAATAATAATGAATTTGACCTAACACATCGGCTTTGGAAATAGCGCTATGGCGCCCACCAAAGTGCCATAATAGAAAAGTTAGGATAATACATCTGCTTTTTGAACTAGCAGAATTACCTTTTGACTTTTTGGACCTAACATCGCAATGCTTAAAGGGATACTACTGAGGCGTTGTATGGGTAACTGATGTACATTGTACTGTTGCAGTTCAAATAAGTATTTTTCCTGAGAACTTAGCATTGCAGTGCTAATTTTGAATGTCACTGTGCTAATCATGTGAATGCTGTAGTGCTTTATTCCCTAGTGCTGAAACACTAGTTCATAATTTAGTACCTCAATTTCTCTAGATTTAAATCATAACTTTGCTCAAAATCAATTATAAACATACAAATAATGTAAAATATTTAAGAAAATAAAACATGAAACATCAAACATCAAAATAATTACAAATTACAAAGCACACATAAACGCAAAGATGGATTACCTCCCAAACAACATTGCGTTTATAGTCATTAGCTAGACTTGCCTATATTTATTAATTTAACTGAAATAATTCATTACCACTCCTTAAGTTGTTTCCATTGGTGTCATTTTCTTTATCTTTGGGGTTAACTTCAATATTACTAGGAAAAGACCCAAGAGGTCTACTACCGAAAGAAATTGTAAGCTATCATAATTGAGTTTTCAAAATTTGAATTAAAGCTCCTTGACTTTATAATTAAGTTCCTAATTGAATCACTACCTCTTTCAAAAATAACTTTATATTCTCATATTGACTATTTTGATTAAATCCTTGAGGATAAGAATTTATAGGATTCACAACAGGTTGTTGAGGATTATTCTAATTTTCTCCTTAGTTAGATTGTCATGAATTTCATTGATTATTTTCACCAACATTGTTTAACTAACTAAAATTAGGGTGGTTCCTCCAACATGGATTGTATGTATTAGAATAATAATTATTTTATTTTTTAATATCTAAAGCACTAATATCCTCGACAAAATTCAAACGATTCTCTTTTAATTGAATAGATGAGTTAGATCATGAGTTAAATCCAATAGTTTATAGTTTCTTTGAAATAACATCCACCTAAGCAATAAGAATAGACAAAACATCATATTCATAAACTCTAGCTACTCTTTTAGAATTCACTCTATCAACAGGCTATTGAAAATTATTGGTAGCAATTTTCTCAATCAATTCATAAGCATTCTCAAATGGCTTAGACATTAATGATCATCCAGATGTAGCATCTATGATTAGCCTAAGAGATCCTACTAATCAATTATAAAAGATTTGAATAATCAATTAATCAGGTAAATCATGGTGAGGATATTTTCTAAGCATCTTCTTAAATCTCTTCCAACTTTTATAAACAGATTCCCCTGCAAATTGGGCAAAAGAAGACATATCATTTTTAAGTTTAACATTTTTTTTAGGTGAGCAATATTTTATAAGGAATTCATGCGCCAACTCATTCCAAGTGGTTATAGAACTCGGGGCAAAAAATCTAACCTATTTTAGCATTAACCCTCAAAGAAAATTGGAACATTCTAAGTATAATTGCATTATCATTGATATCATTGTACTTAAAAATTATACAAATTTTTAAGAAACTGACTAAATATAAGTTATGATCTCCAATAGTTCTCCCGAATTAAAATTTTTGTGCCATTTGAATAATAATAGGTTTCAATTCAAAATTATTAACATTGATAGAAGGTATATTAATACTCTGATAATTTTTTTCTATTACAAGATTAACATACTCTCTAAGTGGTCTAGCATGATATTGATCTTGAACTGGGTCAGGCATTGCTAATTTTTTTTTTTAAATTTTTTTGTAAGGATCATTTCTATTTCTGGATTAAATAATAAAGTATCTTTACTCGATTTATTAAATATACAACAGGATACAACAACTAAAAATAGAAACCAAACAATCAAACAAAAAACATTTTTGGATTTTTTGAATTTTTAATTTTAACAATTAAAATAAAGATAAAGGATATAAGTATGTCTAAATATGCACTTGTTTCAATAATTTAATAAATTGCAACAGGCACATTACTTCCCCGGCAACGACACCAAAAATTTGATGGGGGCATATGATGTGATAAGACAATGACAAACTAATAAAAAACTAACTAGATTTGAAATATGTTTAGATTTTTTTTTAATATAAAATTTTAAAAACCTACTAATTTACACAAGTATACTTGCTAAATTAAGTAATAAAGTGATAAGTAAAGTTTCAAACCTAGAAGGAAGTAATTTACTTTAATGCAACAAAACTATTACTCCTTACTCCAAATGCATGAACTTATTATACTAAAATGAAAATGAGGTTTTTGAGTTCCCACTAGTAAAAAATAAAAAATAATAAAGTTGATATAATTTTAATAAAGTATTTTGGACTAATGTGTGTAAATAACATATTTTTCTTAATGAAACTCTTAATTATAGATGCGGATCAAAATATGTACATCCCTAAATCTCTATCGAGCTTGTAGAGATAAAAAAAGATTGTTAGTCTCCCTATATTTTTTTTTTTTATCTCTATAGAACCTAGAATATTCAAATATATTATGTCTAGACATGCCAATATTTCATTTCAATATTCATAATTATTCTTGCATTTCTCCATCGAGGCTATACATCACACTATATTTTAACTATACATATGACCATTATATGCATTAAATTAAGAATGAGAGATATTGAAAACGTCATTATTTCTATTAAAGAATAAAAGTATATTAGTATTTAATATGCTATTTACATTATTAGTCAAAAATATAAGATCGACCCAAACATGGAATAAATAACAAGTAAACTCATATTTTTTTATTCATAGAAGAATAAAGTACAAGAGAAGTAAGAAGTTTATCACTAGGATGGATCTAAGTATCTTCTTTATACTCCTTACTCTACTTACAGAGTTGTCAATAAAAAAATAGGCTAATCCCTCTAAGGAGTGTATCTTTCACTTCCCTAATCTCCTTACACTAAGAAAATGCTAAATTACACTCATGTAACTAAACTGTCCAAATAATAAAACTAACTTCAATTTATAGTAAGTACAGGAATGGACTCTAGCTCCACAGTGCTAGATTAGGTAGCACTACGACAGTGAAAAATAAACTAGTGCCTTAGCGCTGTCATATTGCCTCCGATGTGGCATTAGGTGAAATGGCATGGTTACAACTTGAATTAGTGTGTCTCTTCACTAAATTGACACAACTCATAGCAGATATAATTACTACGCCATTGTGATGTAAAATGTGAGCATTGTGGCGCTTGGAATGACTTTTTAATGACGCAACGCTAGAAGGCTGGCGCTACCACTTTGAATCTTTCCTAAACACCCAATATTGTGGTGTTGTGACGTGCTATAGCATTGACATCAGTGACACTATGGTGCTTGTAAACAAAGAATTTCAGCACCGCCGCATTAAAATTGGACCTCCGAAGTAGATTGATACGGCACTGCAGCATTAAACTCGTTGATGCTGCCTAACACTTATAAATTTGGCTTTTTCCTACATAATTTTATTACAAAAAATATCAAACAAAATATTTCAGTGTATTTAATATAAAAAAAATAATACATAATTTAAACTTATCACCCTCATCTAATATGCCCTAAATCCGGCCTGATTAGATAAACGGGTAAAAAATCATGACAAAGACCCAGCCCGCTAACACTATTAGCTGACAAGGTGATCGAGAGCTGA